CATTGTAGTAGTCAAGGGCAATCATATCATCGGGGTGGAACTAAAAATTTATTAAAGGATAAAAAAAAGGTAAAGTTTAATAATGTGAACTAATCAAGGATCACATAATAATATTTAGGGTAAAGTATAGTAATGGTCATTGAACTTTTCTAAATCTTTCATTTAGGTCTCCCAATTTTTAAAACTTACAATACAATCCTCCAACTTTTAGTCCGTTTGCAATATGGTCCCCCAACAATTACATCGGGGATCATATTGCAAACATACTAAATGTTGAGGGATCATATTGCAAACAAACTAAATATTAGGGGATTATATTGCAAGTTTTAAAAGTTAGTGGACCTAAATGAAAGCTTTAGAAAAGTTCAATGATAATTACTATACTTTACCCTTATTTTAAATACATAACATTTTAATTAAAATACTTTTTTAAATTATTTTTTCAAATTAGAGATAAGTATAGGTCTAATTGGACTGGATTTTTCATCGATCTAAACTCGATTCAAATATTCTATCTCTTCACTTAAAATCCGACCTGATCTGGGTTTAGGGACGAATTTTGTCCAATTAAAATATAAGGACAGAATTTTAATTTAGTGCATCATGGGGGACTCAAAATGGGAATTGACCAAAGGGAACAGACGAAGTTTACGCCAGACAGAAACTCCAAGTCCAGTCGGCCACCGGTTCAAAAATACTGTTATTTATTTATTTATTATAATATTAAAAAAATGATTTTCATATAGTAACAATACATAACATTAAATACAATAATTAATAACTTGTGGCAATATGTAATGAATTTAAACAGTATTGTCGGGGCATCAACTGTTGTAATACTAGTATTTTTGTAGAGACAGTGGAATATTAAATTAAAAGAAAAAGACGGTTGTTTTTTCTTCTAATTTAATGTTGAATTAACTAGTTTGGATAGATACTTCTCTTGTTTCACTTAATTATAGGTAGGGATGGCATTTTCACTCGACATGTTTCAATTCGATTCAATCTGATTAGGTCGGATTCTTTTTAAAGAATTTGGGTTCAAGCCGGTCAGATCGATTTTTATGGGGTGAGGTTGGGTCAGATTAGATTTAGATGGAGGGTGAAAAAACTCCAACCCGACTCAATCTGAGGATAATGATGTAATTTTCTTAAAAATTATTATTATTTAATTAAATCATTAATTTATATCAGGTCGGGTCAGGATGAATTTATACACTAAAAACGGGTAGGGTCAGAGTCGGGTGAAGGATATATACTTTTTGGGTCTAGTCAAGTCGGATGTAAGATATAAATTTTTTAAGTCGGATCGGATCGACAAAAAACCCGACCCATTACCATCCCTAATTATAGGTTTAATAACAAACAAATTACTTTTGCTTTAAAAGTTATAAACATATCATTCAGTTACATTAATATTACAAGCATTTCTTCTTATCGTTAAGAATGAAATGGACGTTTGATATAATATGATATAATAATATTTTTAATTCATTAAATTTATATATTTTATTAAACTTGTTCTTATTTAAAATAATTCAATAAATTTAATCATTTATATTTAATATTTTTAATACCAATGGTAATCATCCTATATTAATAAAAAATTATTAATCTATTTTTTTACGATACTATCAAATCAAACGACTCCATCAAATTAAATTAATAGTTAAATAATTACATTGTGTCATAAAATAGCAACACATTAGTATTAGACTATTATCATACTATAAAAACTATAAAAAAATAATATAACATTGATCGGAGAAGAATAAAGAATAAAATGATAAGCTTTTTAAATTTTTAAATATTAAATATTAAATTTATTAAATTGTTTCGAATAAAGATGAAATTAATAAATTATATAAATTTTAAAGAATAAGATCGTTATTATATAAAGTCACGTCACTATTTTCGTGTAATAATATTTTAATTAAATGATTTATTTATAACTTTTAGAAGAAAAGTAACATGTTTATTACTAAATCCAGAATTAAGTGACCTTAGTTTTAGTTTACCCTTTATATATATAAGTATCAGCTGCTTTATTTGTTTGTTTACACGTGTAAAATAAAAGGGTAAAGTATAGTAATGGTCACTGAACTTTTCTAAATATTTCATTTAGGTCCTTCAACTTTTAAAACTTGCAATACAATCTCCCAACATTTAGTCCGTTTGCAATATGGTCCCCTAACAGTTATGTCAGGGACCATATTGCAAACGGATTAAATGTTTAGGGACCATATTGCAAACAAACTAAATGTTGGGGGATTATATTGCAAGTTTTAAAAGTTGGAAGACCTAAATGAAAGCTTTAGAAAAGTTCAGTGACCATTACTATACTTTACCCTAATATTTAATCTTTTTAGTTGAAGTGCCCAATAGAACTTATTTATTTATTTTTGAATATAAAGACGTAGCATAAAGCCATTAGCTAAGAGAAATTAAGTCATATTCACTGTCGTGATCACTGTAGGACCAAACTCAGCTTGAAATAATGGTAGGATCTCTGTTGGAGGGAGGCTGAAGGTTCGAAATCCAAACCATAAACTCCATGCTAACTTCGCTATAGCATCGGCGATTCTATTTCCTTCTGGATTTACATGATTAAATATCAGCGGCCAATCTCGACAAATAATATCCACTATATGCGAAATCAAGTGGAAGACCATCTCATGTTAGAATCCTGTTGAAGCAACATCCAAGTTTCTTTGCTGTTTGTCTCAAACACAACCTGTCGCAACCCCATATCCTAAGCGAGTTAAACACCTGCAAGAGCTCCCCAAAGCTCGGCCTCTAACACTTTGAACACTCCTATAGCTTTTTGAAAACCCCCCTAATCCAATTCCCTTCCCATCTCTAATAACCCCTCCACACGCTGTTACGCCCGATAATGGTCTATAAGCACCATTCGTGTGAGCTTTGTACCAACTCCTCGGCGGTGTCTTCCAACGAGCTTCCTGGATCTTCCTATGGGGGCTATTTATGGCCATAAGGGTCTGTGATTGACTCACTTCAATGATTAACCGGCGACTTCTTACCATCATAAGTTCCGGTTGAAAGACTGATTGATTTCTCCTTGTCCATAAACCCCACAAAATGACTCCAAATAACATAGCCCAATCATCTGAAACTATCGGGATGGCATCCGGCTTTTGTAGGTTGATACTGATCTAATCAATCATAGGTATGACAAAAAACTCATCAATTCGATACGGTTTAACAAGCTCCATCCAAGTAGCACGGGCTACAAAACATTCTCGAAATACAATAGATAAGGACTCAGTCATCGCCCTACAACAAGGACAAGTTGCATCCTCGGACATATGCCTTCTCAAACGTTCCTCATTTGTCATCAAACGCCCCTTACAGATTAATCAGAGGAGGAGATGCACTCTCGGCAATCCCAGGTATACCGAAATAGCTTTCTATATCCGATCCTCAGAATCTTCATTGATATCAGACCTGCAACGATAAGCACTAGATACAGAAAAAGTCTATTCGATTCCCATATCCAGCCTGGTTTGTCTTCTCCTCCTTATGCTAAAGGTGGTTTAACGGCTGTAATTTGAAGTACTGAGGGTGGTAAGCATGAACAAAGCACATCCCATTTTCAGTCCCCATTTTGTGCAACCATAGAGGCAATCGGCAACGATTTAATTGATTCATCAGGTTCCACAAATTAAAGGCTCTCCATAGATCCAAGGTTTCCAAGCCAAGCATCCTTCCAGAATTTAATTCTATGTCCATTCCCCATATTCCAAACCAAACTTTGCCGAACGTCTTCCCAGACCATATAATCCCTGCCCATAATCGAGAGTAACACCGTCTCTTAATCGAATCTGGAACCAGCTCCATCAACTTGTACTTCGCAAGCAAGACTCTACTCCAAAGAACTTATCTTATTTATTTCTTAAAAAATATTTTTTTAATATTATTAATAAACATAAAAAAGTTGACAGGTATTCCTGACGCTGCGAAGTTTTGCCTATGCTTAAGATCAGTGGCAGATTCATTGAAGGCTGTACATCCTGAAATCTGTATTTTTTTCGGAAATTACTTATTTTATTAATAATATTCATCCTAAAAATTTATTTGTACTCACTCCACTAAAATTTTTATATTGTTAACATAAATATTTCTAAATCTGTCTTTATATAGTCCAATTCGGGTTGTTCTTGTGAAACCCCAACATATAAAGTCAATATAAATGTGATAAATTAAAATGTATAATTGTGGGAATACATGTATAATGTTATCATAAAGTATTTACACGTATATAATGGATAATGTTATAATCGTTATTTTTTTTGAAATATTTTGGCCCAAGCATTTTATTTTTAAAAAGTTCTTCATTTTCAAGCGTTTAAAATAATTTGCAAAACCGTTTTCATCAATAGGCTAAAATAGAAAATATATATTAAAATAATTATTTAATCGAACGTTGGCAGTAGTTTTTTATGTTATAACTATTTTTTATTGGTTGAAGGTCCTAAAATAGACTGCAAAGGGTAGAAGTGAGGCTTAAATTGGCTCAAAAGAGCAACCCAAGCCTCTACAGTAATGGAAAAGAAGAGAGAAGCTCCAAGCAGGAGAAGTTCCACAGCAGCACTATCAATAGGCAAAAGGCCTCGACAAAAACGCAACATCCGCAACGCGTGTTACCATATAACCTACGGTTAATACATAAAATATTTATGTACAAGGGTTATTGATGGTATGGGGAATTGAGATCGAGTGGAGTTTCGTCGACTGTAAAAACTGGCGGCCAACGTGAGTTTAAGGATTGAAATGAAGATTTTTAAAGTGGCTACTTTAAATTTTGTGTTTTTTAAATATAATTTTAATTTTTTAATTTTGAATAAAATTTTTAAAATTATCAGAATATGACATATGTCCTTTAACGGAAAAGATTAACGGTATTTATGACCCGGATACGTAAAGTGACTATAATACTGGACACATGAATCATTCAAAAACGTTTAGACACATTTTTATAAAAAACACTATAGTTTGGACATTTATTTTATAATTAAGCCTTAATTTTAAACAAAGTAGGGGTAACAAACTTTTGCCATGGTTGACGTGCATTATTCAATACAGTTCGGGAGTGGTCTAATACACATTGATGTTGGTCTTTTACCCTTCTTCTCAAGCCAAGAATTTTTCCAGTAAGTTCCCAAAGAAGAAGCTTGTTTTAGCCCATCCACTGCTCTCGGCCCCGACTGCTTTCCTACTCGCCGGATCCTTCTTCACATTAAGCATCATCGTGTGTCCGATTTCTTCACGTAGTGCTTCGATCGTCTTCGCATCCACGGGATTCCCATAAGCATTTCTCACATAGAAGACGTTCACTGCTTTCTCCCCGACCGTTGAGACCCCTGCTCTTAGAACGGACAACCCGTTCTCTCGGAGAATCCTTGTTACTTCGGACAACAAACCGACTCTGTCCTTCGCGCAAAGCTCCAGGCTTAAACCCTGCGTTCGTTAAAGATGTCATGGTACTAGTTTTTACATGTTCACCAGAGAGATTTGAAACGAATCGTGGACGAAGTTGCAGTAAATATACACTGAAAAAACAATATGTTGTATTGAAACAATGACATAGCTTTGTTTTCTAAGTAATCACATTCTTCTGCATGGAATTTCAGAGTTTAGAAACACTCCAGAGTTTCACATTTGAGGAACAGCTACATCATTTTAATCGTCCGGATTCGGAATTCAGAGAATCTAACAACAAAAATGGCTTAGCATGAACAGAACATTTCAGTTAGATACATAATACTACTTACCTCGCTTACTCTTCTATGAATGGCGGCTTCGAGACATTTAACAACCCTTTCTTTCTCTCCTTCGGTATCGAGTATGCAGCCATCCATGTGGCGAATAAAATATTCCTACAATTCAGAAGACATTAAGAAGATTTATGTACGTATAAGTATCCAATACCATTTTCGGAAAGGCTATGGCAGATGATGGGTTTACCTGTGAAGCACGGGGACCACAGGATGAGATGTTAGCATGAAAAACTACATATTGCATGTCCGTGAGTGTGCAAACAATGTCGAACATGAGCTTAGCTCGATCTTTGCACCGGACACTAACAACCGAATACCCTTTCTCCTCACAACGATCGATTGTTATCTTTGGTCTGAAGGATGGAGGATAGTCCAACTCCGATGTCACTCCACCACCTTCATAATCCCTATCTGCAAACAGCATTTGATGAAGCCGACGATCGATATGTGTGAATCCCATGGAGAAGCTGGTACGAGCAACATTGTCATCGTCCTCACAACCACGTAGGATATGCTTAAGCTGCTCCTCCATAATAGACATTCTGTTTGGATCATTCACAGCCCCGCCTGTGGTATCATCATTAACATAGAGCACACATGCTATTCGTCTATTATGCGTCCATACTTCTGCAACGGTAACATTGAAGTGAAGGTTGGCAAGGACAGCCGAAATCTCTGATAAGAGACCGGGCCTGTCCCTTCCAATGATTTCTATTGCCGTGTGATTTCCGAAAGAGTGAACCCCAACACTTTTTCCGGGGAAGTTTTTCATCCCATCCATAGTGTGGCCTTTAGGTCCTAGAACCTATTGAAAGGAAAGTGCAAATGGTAGTCGGTTACGGATGCATAACACGGCAGTAGGCCTCGTGAAGAGGGAAATGAGATGGAGAAATTCATCATTTTACTAGCAGTATAATGCAGTGAAAAAGAAGATAAGTTAGAGGGGAAAAGATATGGCATACCCTCTCTACATAATCGATAGTTTTTACATCGGTGATCCTTTTCCCGTGTTGATCCGTGACGTGAAACACTGTTTGCAAAGGGAAAAAATATCAAGTACTCAGTATTAGGAAGAAGAAAAGGAGGAGAGGGACAAGGGAAGAAGATGTGGTATAACTATGTGAGTCGACGCTTATCGATAAATATGTGAATCGACGCTTATCGATAACTTGAAAATAAGAATGAAACCACATTCTGCTTTATAATGTAGGAAGAAAATTTCTACAGCCTAACATAAAGGAAACAATAAATATTAGTGTGTGTATATATACATATATATCATCATCATACCATCCATGAACCATCCACCATCAGAGGAGACATAAGCTTTGGTAATAATGAAATCAAGGTCTGTTAGTATTTGCACAACTTCCAGCAATATTCCGGGTTTATTCACGCTGTCAACCTATACGCAAAAGAAGTGATTTAGCCTCTAGCACAATAAATGTTTGATTCTGTATATGTAAGTTCGAAATCTAGTTAGACATTAAATTTGTTTTGGATTGAAACTTTACCTTTACAACGGTACAGTTGCTGCAACTCGTGTTATCAACGGACACCCTGCCAGAAAAAGGTACGAGAAACAGAGTTACAACTACGCAATGATGTTCACTGCTAAACGTGTCTGAAAGTCTTCTCAAATGGTCTGCGTCTGTCCTTTGGCATGAAAAAGAAAATTCAAGTGGATAAAGAGACAACCTTGGAGGATTGATTCTGACACTCAGGTTCTCATACTCAGGATCAAAGTACGGCCAACAAACTTTCGCCATTTAAACCGCGGCTTCACAATAATCTGAATGTGTTTCTCGATCTGTATGACAGCAAATCCTAGTTACCAGGTGATATACATCAACTATTTATGTAAGAAAAGAATCTTTTGCGTTATCTCTTTCGAGACCGATCTTAACTTAAGCATGTCAATACAAGATATTCGTCCAACGGCTATAAACATATGGAATATATCCATAATTTACCCTCTAAAGCTAAAAGTAATTCCTTCACAGAATGATTTCTAGTATTGCAAGTCATCCGAAAATGGAGGAGAACATCATGCATGAATTAGCTGATCTTTTATAAGAAGCCTGTAATGCAATCATCAAAACGAAAGTTATCCGTGGATGCATCAAACGAAAGTAAAGTTTACCTGATATGAACAATCAAATTGAAAAAGCCAAGCTTCGCAAGTTCTATATCAAACTGCATGTAATCGAGGAGCAAACAGAGGAGCTGTAAATTATAATGACAGAGAGTATCTTCGATCTGTCTATGACAGGAAGAGAACTACCGTTTCCGAAGAAAACAAGAAGGGTCTTCTTTGATGATTTAGGTTGTAGTTAAGGTTGCCTAATGTGGCAATCCCAGGTTGACGGAAATCAGATTCAGATTCTGGCAACAAATATCTGCAAACAAAGTGGAAGAAAAATCAATAAATGTACATAAGCTAATGCAAATCTAGCTATATCGACGATTCGAAATCATTTTAGTATCATCATATCGGCATATATCTGCAAACAAAGTGGAAGAATGCAATGCATTCCTTTTGAATCCTACCTTTAATTGTTAGATACCTTTCAAGATTCATTCCTCTATAAGATAATGCTTAATTTTGATAGAGTTGGTTCCGGTGTCGTACAGGAAAAACGAAACCGAACCGGGAACCAAAAGTACTGTATGATTAGAATTAGTACTTACCAAAGAAAAAGAACAGAACAAAATTGACCAAAACATATATAAATTGACATAAGGATTTGATTCTTAACACATTTACACTTGTCTTTCCCCATCATCTGCATCAGAAACAGTGTATATACAGCCACTAAAAAGATCCTAATTATGTCATCACAACCATCAATTCTTAAGAAAAATAAAAAGTACATAACACTAGTAAAGTGGGTAATTTGTGTATATATTTTGTAATCGTGAAACTGCATCAAGATTCATGGTATAAACTATAAAACAACAAAAACAAGCTGAATATCCCTTTATCTGAGTTGTATCTAAGAAGGAAACCTGCAAATTCTTGAGAGAAACACAGAAATAAACGAACATTTCTCAGATAGAAAATGAAAACCCAAAGAGATGTTAGAGAAAAGAATCTAAATTACCTTTGAAAAAACCTTCAGGATATACAATTTTGCTTCTTCTTCTTCACATTCTATGGTGGGAACAGAAGTGAAAATCCAAAGAGAAAACTTTCTTCTTCTTTGAGTTGGTGAATGAATGGATCTTTTAAAAAGAGAGATTCTGTGGTTCTCTACGTTGAAATATACCACTTTCATTGATCAATGCTTTGCTTTCTAATATATTTCATCAGTGCAAATGGAAGCCAGGATAATACAAGAGAACAAAGATGGACAGACAATTGAGAGTGGCGTTTGGGTTTAAATAACTAAATCTGATGCATAATGATTAAAATATTTTGTTAATTACTCAGTAATGACGCGGCGACCCAACTCCTTTTTTGTTATGTTTTTGTGTAAGTTTAAGTTTATACCCACTCTCGATAGAGCGCGTGACATTTCACATGGTGCTGACCTGGATGATTTTAAAAGTACTGGCAATATTTTAATGGTTAAATATGCTTCAACTCTAGGGATGATTACGTGTAACTGAACTTTAAGGTGCGACAGTCTAATAAACGTTTAGGGAAAAGATTATATTAAAAATGTTATTATTTTTTTTATTATTTTTGGTAAAATACTACATAAAATATTATTTATTCTATTAGAATGTTAATATTAAACTCTACTTAAACATTATATTTTATCAGAAATATTAATATTAGGCGTTACCTAAAATATTATTTTTTATCGGAAATTAACTAGCGAAATTAACATTTCTGGTAGAACAAATAATATTTTAGATGGCGTTTTATCGAAAATGTTAAAAAACTAATAACATTTCTGGTAGTGTCTTTCCTTAGCCGTATATTAAGTTAACATACAGCAGAACTACCCTACATGTCAATTTTTTTTATCTGAATTTGATTTAAAAATAGGGTAAATTACCTACTTAATAACTTAACTTTCATGCAACTCCTATTTTACTCATTGTACTTTCAAAATTTTCAATTTGATCACTGAATTTTATACATTAAACTTTTTTTTATCACTTCGTCGTTATATCACTAACAGCTCGTTGACATGAATTATTTTAATATTAAAATTAAGCAACATAAGATGTCGCATAAGATTTTTATTTAATAAAATAAAAGCTAACAAGGAAAAAACCCTAACCCCAAATCCTACCACCAAACCTTAATCCCAAACTTTACACCCAAAATCATAATAAATCAACAAGTTACTCCAATGGAGATCTTATAAACTTGTTACAAGAACCAAACAATCGTAATAAATCGTTTTTGTTCTCTTTCCGAAATCCAAAAAATGAAAATACTAAAAAATAAAGAGGATGAAAAAGAAGAATAAAGAAAAAAAAGAGAAAAAAAAAATAAAGAGGATGAATATACCAAAAACGACATAAACCCGACCCATGTCCATCCCTAATTAGAGGTGCAGCTTGGGGGAGAAGAAGGGTGCAAGTGAATCAATATTAATTAGAGCCAACACACACCGAATTCCATTCCGAACCACAATTCACAGATTTTAGTTTGCATTTACCAAAGAATCGGGATCACATCACATGCTCTGCCATCTCATCACATATTAGGCTAATTAAGAATTGGAATAAATTTCGAAAAAGATTTAAAATAATAAATTTGACAATATTTCAAGTCTCCAACTTTTCTATTATTTCATTAAAATTTCGGATTAAAGAATAAACAGATTATAAAATGTTTTAAATTAATTAATTAGGCTTTGGGCACATGGTACAGCATTGTTGAGCACAATTTCCTCTATTACATTATCATTCATATGTTGACCATCATGTCAACAAAATCTCATAAATTTTTATACTCAAATTAAGTAACACCAATAAATTCAACTAAAAACATTAGAACGGTACAAATAAAAATAAACAGATACTGAGTCATAACTTGCAGAAACAAACGTACCTGTTTTCAAGTCTCATTTCAGCCCTTCAACCCTTATCTCATCATCTTTTAGTTGTAGAATTTGGTTTTGCATTGATTTGGACATGTTTCACGGATGTTCTGAGTCAGAATATTCATCATTGTTTTGTATAATGAGGCACAAGCTTGTCCTTCAAGCGGTGGAAATGATCGGTTTCTCCTTCAAGAAGGCGCAATACCTGGGGGACAACCCGTCAATTCAATATTATGTTCAAATGGAGAATTTGCATGAACAGGATGGATGAAGTATGAAGATGTTTCTAGTTAGAAAACACCCATGATTTCAATCCATGCAGAAGTTTTCTGTTTTTCTATCTATTCATCATTATATGATGGTTCGTCATTCCATATAATCCATCATTTTCTGAAGAAATGCCCTTTTAAAAGGATGAGATGACACATAAAATCAATAGTTGAGTCTTCAAAGATGTTGAACCTCGGATCTCTTTCCCACAATGTTCTTTGTTTTTTTTTTAATTAAACCAAGAATTTCATATTATCCTCTATTGCACTAAGCTGCTTATCCAAACGGAGGAGTCCAGAATTTGCTTCGGAGGAACATCATAGCAGATTTCTTGCAAAGATAAATCTCGGGACAGCAATACTAATCTATCAGCAACAACATTATGATCTCGTCGAACATAATCTAATCCAACCTCCCATTCTCGTTGCATCAATTCTTTAATCACAACAAATAGAACATTACCATGAAGAAAAAATTATGATTTCAAGAGACCTCTTATAGACTCCATATTATCGGATTCCAGTTCAACTCGTCGATAACCAAGCCTCCAAGCACGTCGAAGAGTATCTAGTGTCACCCACAACTGTTGAATAATAGAGTAAAGAAAACATAAAGAACACACGAATTTTAACGAGGTTCGGCAACGTGCTTACGTCCTCGGTGCCTTAGGAGGCGCTAGAATTTTTATTCAATTTCATAGGTTTAGGTTACATCTCCTTTTAAAATAAATAAACTCTGGTACATATTTACAATAATAATCATGTACTATACCGCGAGGCCGCAGCCCCCGCACCCCCAACCCACATAATCGTAACCCCCACTACGAGACTTTCTCGGTATATTTATGAGTCATACCTAACAAATCTCCACCTTGGCGAATATCCTGCCCCTTAGGAAACATTCAATGTGTGTTGGGCTACCTTACTTCTTTAACAACTCGAAACATTCAACAAGTCCAAGCAATGATTGAACCTGTCTATCGTAACGGGCTTGGTGAACATATCAGCGGCATTCTCATCAGTATGTACCTTCTGAAACAAAATCTCTCCAGATGCAACCAACTCTCTGATCTTATGAAACCTTACATCAATATGCTTAGTTCTAGCACGATATACCTGATTCTTAGCCAAGTGAATAGTACTTTGATTGTCACAAAGCAACTGAACTTCACCTTGTTGAACACCCAACTCCTTCACTAAACCAGTAAGCCATAAAGCTTCTTTTGCAGCTTCAGCCGCTGCCATGTATTCAGCTTCAGCCGCTGCCATGTATTCAACTTCAGTTGTAGATAGTGCCACAACAGATTGAACAATAGACTTCCAACAAATAGGCCCTCCACCAAGAGTAAAGACATACCCTGTCGTAGATCTTCTATTATCCAAGTCACCTGCATAGTCTGAATCCACATATCCTACAACTAAAGGATTATCCTGCTGACTACAAAAAACAATTCCATGTTCCACAGTACGCTTTAAGTACCGAAAGATCTACTTGACTACTTCACAATGTTTCTTACCAGGTTTAGACATGTACTTACAAACTTGACTAACATCATGAGATAAATCAGGACGAGTACATACCATTGCATACATCAAGCAACCAATAGCATTAGAATACGAAACCTTTGTCATATCTTCAGCTTCCTTATCTGTCTTAGGGCACTGTTCTGATGAGAGCTTAAAGTGATTCGCCAATGGAGTGCTAACTGGCTTTGCGCTGCTCATCGCAAACCTTTCTAGTATTTTCTCAACATAACCCCGTTGAGATAGCCACAATTTTCTTGAGTCTCTATCCCTGAAAATTTCCATTCCAAGAATTTTCTTTGCAGCACCTAAATCTTTCATATCAAATTACTGACTCAATAAAGTTTTCAAACCGATAACATCATCCATGTTCTTCGCAACAATTAACATATCATCAACATACAGAAACATAAAAATAAAAGAACCATCATCAAAGCTTTTAACATAGCCACAACAATCATACTCACATCGCTTGTAGCCAATCTTGATCATATAGGAGTCAAACCATTTGTACCACTGTCTCGGAGACTGTTTCAACCCGTACAAATATTTCTTCAATCTGCAAACTAAATGCTCGTTTCCAGGTTGAGTGAAACCTTCAGGCTGTTGCATGTAGATCTGCTCCTCTAAATCACCATGCAAAAAAGCAATTTTAACATCCATCTACTCTAAATGAAAATCCCAACTAGCCACCAATGCAAGTACTGCTCGGATTGAAGCGTGCCTGACCACATGAAAAAATATTTCATCATAATCAACTCCTTTTTGCAGTGAAAAACCCTTTGCTACCAAACGAGCCTTGAACTTCTCCTCTTTTTTTCCTGTTACTGCTGGTTTCTTCTTATACACCTATTTGCAACCAATATATTTCTTACCCTCAGGAAGGCGAACTAACTCCCATGTACAATTGTGATTCAAAGACTTCATCTCCTCAACCATAGCAGCCATCCACGTGTCATTTTCCTGACTAGTAACATCATCATGAAAAGTAACTGGATCATCATTGCTAACAGTAAGTGCAAAAGATACCAAGTCTTCAAAACCCAATCTGTTCGGAGGCTTTATATCCATCCATCTCACCCTATATCTGGTGATACTATAATCCTGCAAATCATCCTTAGTGGAACCACCAGAAGTCGGTTGAGAAGTTTATGTTTTCTCAACTGGAAACTACTCGAAATCCACCACTGTCTTGTCTTTCTTCTGCTATAACATTGGTTGTTCATAAAAAAACAACATCTATACTGATCACAATTTTCTTCGCAACTGGATCCCAGAACTTGAATCCATTGACACCTTTCTTGTAACCCAGAAAAACGCACTCCTTCGATTTTGCATCAAGTTTGGATCTTTCATCAGCAAGTACATGCACATAAGCATGACAACAAAAAAATCTGTAAGTTTAAAAAAATAACATCATGATCAGTCCTTACTTCTTCTGCAACTTTCCCAACCAATGATGCTCTTGGCGATCTATTGATAAGATAACACG